CACCAGAAGCATGTCTTTATAATCATATCGACTTTTCGTGTCATGGCTCATGAACCAATCCTCTTCCACTTTTTCAGGGGCTAGCCGACTTATCAAACATCTCCATGCGAAAAATATTCCAATTTGTGTTGCTACGGGGTATTTCTTTTTTCCATCAGCATCAAATCTGTTTCTCGTACTTCTTTTCTTTATAATCTGAAAAAGAAAATGAATTTTTTGCATCTTTGAATGTATGGTTTGCAGTACTCACACACGTCACTTTGACTTGAAAACCCAAACACACAAAGAGCTTTTCTCATTGATGCATCACATAGTTCGCGGTGATGATCCAGAGGTGAAGCAAGGAAAGCCTGCCCCAGATGGCTTTCTCGCTGCATCTAGGAGATTTAAGGTAACACGCAACAATCTCCAAGATGATCTATAACTTAATACATATGTGAGAAACCGTATGATTTGGTTGTATCCTCCATCTCAAGCTTTAAAATGAGATGTAAACTTATGTCTCCTACTTCGTCTGAATTCCTTAGGACGGTCCCGTGGATCCACAAAAGTTTCTTGTGTTTGAAGATGCTCCATCTGGAGTTCTTGCTGCTAAAAATGCCGGAATGTAAGCGAGACAACATCTCTTAGTAATTTATAAATTCTCTCATGTAAACCAAACAGATGAGCATTTAGTGGTTAAAGTTTCAGACCAAAACCGGAACAATTAAATTGATACACATTCATCTTTGATACCAAAGAGAAAGAAGTTAATATCCTCTTTGATTCTTTTCTACAGGAACGTTGTGATGGTGCCAGATCCTAGACTAGATATCTCTCACCAAGATGTTGCAGATCAAATCCTAACCTCTCTACTCGATTTTAAACCAGAGGAATGGGGTTTGCCTCCATTCGAAGATTCAAACTAAAACGTTACAAGCTTCTTCAAGGTAATGATAAAAACATTCGAATCATCATGAACCAGTGAGAAGCTTATTGTTTGTCTTATTATACTTGGTTTTGGCGTTTACAATGACATATATAGCCATGAGGGTTTTTTTATGTCGTCAAGTATTATGATTTTGG